ACACAAACGGTCGTCATCAGGTGTGTCGGTTTGCATTAATTTATTTATTTTCAAACGGTGTACTTATAAAAAAACGTCAGCGCCACGCGCAGCGATTTGGCAGTTTATTTAGAAGGACTTGTCCATCTATGTTCTGAAAAGAGGAGGGGGAGATGAAAAATGTATGTATGCTGTCTGAAAGCCACTGTAAGCGTGAACAATCAATTAAGACCTGAAATGGTTTATCAAATCTTTCCAATGATTGCTAAGCCAGAATCCATCTTCTCGGTTGAAATTGTCTCTGTGCTTGTATATGTGGATAGCCTCATGAACGAATCTCTCATGGTAGCCAGATGGCTTACAAAGAACCTCTGTCTTGGAAAAGTCAATGTCATGTGAGCCTACTGAATTATAACAATGATCTGCCACGGCCCAGGTGTTGGTCCTACCGTGTTTTGTAAACACCAGGGTACTGTATGTCCGGAATCACATCTTTTACAGACGGAACCAGATCACGGATTTTATGTAATGTGTTGAAACGGACCTGGATCTTGTGTTTATTCAAGATTTTGGAGATCTTTTTTGTGATCCCCGCAATGTAGGGTAAAGTGATGGTTTTGAAAGGCTCCTCAAGAGGGTCCTTCTTCATGGTTTGAGTGATAGCTTTGCGGATTGTATAGTCGGAGTAACCATTAGCCTTAAGAGCTTGGTGTACGTGCTTGAGTTCACTGCCTATGTGTTCCTGGTCAGATATGCATTGGGCTCTATGATACAGAGTCTTGATGAGAGAATTCTTCTGTGATGGATGGTGGTGGGAATCCGGTTTCAGATAAGCATCCGTATGGGTAGCTTTCCTGTATACAGAGTGGCTCATTGAACCATCTACTCACCTGGTATCGACAATCAAGGGTATTTCCCTGTCCCCAGACGACCTGCTTGTCAGTTTTGATGTAGTTTCCATATTCACCAAGGTTCCTGTACCTGACACCATCGCAGTCATTGAAGGACTAAACACTGAGGTACCCCCCCTGGTGAGACACTGTTTAACCAATACATACTTCATAATAACGGCTTTTGGGTTAGATCGCGTTTATTTATAAATGTGTCGTAACCCTCCACCACCCGACACGGCCAATCAGCAAAAAAAAAGTGTCACGTTGACAAAAGACAAATAATTCACTACTTTAGCCCACCGGTGTGTTGAAGAGTGAATCCACATTTACAGTTTGAGTACCTTCAACACACCGGTGGGCTAAAGTAGTGAATTATTTGTCTTTTGTCAACGTGACACTTTTTTTTTGCTAACCCAAAAACCGTTATGAATAATATTGGTCGCGAAAGCCTACGTGTTAAACAATACATACTTCACTTGGAATGGAACTTTCTACAAACAAACTGAGGGCACCCCAATGGGCTCCCCCCTATCTCCGGTTATAGCTAACATTTTCATGGAGAAATTTGAAACTGATGCCATCCAGACTGCCACTCTGCGCCCAACCTTATGGAAGAGGTACGTGGATGACACTTTTGTCATCTGGCCACATGGCCGGCCTGCTCTAGACCAATTCTTCGACCACATCAATTCCATACACCCAGCCATCAGATTTACCATGGAAGTAAAAAAAGATGGCAAGCTACCTTTTTTGGATGTCCTAATTAAAAAGAGACCTGATGGTTCAATGAGCCACTCTGTATACAGGAAAGCTACCCATACGGATGCTTATCTGAAACCGGATTCCCACCACCATCCATCACAGAAGAATTCTCTCATCAAGACTCTGTATCATAGAGCCCAATGCATATCTGACCAGGAACACATAGGCAGTGAACTCAAGCACGTACACTAAGCTCTTAAGGCTAATGGTTACTCCGACTATACAATCCGCAAAGCTATCACTCAAACCATGAAGAAGAACCCTCTTGAGGAGCCTTTCAAAACCATCACTTTACCCTACATTGCTGGGATCACAAAAAAGATCTCCAAAATCTTGAATAAACACAAGATCCAGGTCCGTTTCAACACATTACATAAAATCCGTGATCTGGTTCCGTCTGTAAAAGATGTGATTCCGGACATACAATACCCTGGTGTCTACAAACTAAGTTGCCTCTGTGGTAGTAGTTACATTGGAGAAACCAAACGCCATATCTCGGACCGCATTCGTGAACATAAAGCAGACCTTAAACACGGTAGGACCAACACCTCGGCCGTAGCAGATCATTGTTCTAATTCAGTAGGCTCACATGCCATTGACTTTTCCAAGACGGAGGTTCTTTGTAAGCCATCTGGCTTCCATGAGAGATTCGTTCATGAGGCTATCCACATATACAAACACAGAGACAATTTCAACCGAGAAGATGGATTCTATCTTAGCAATCATTGGAAAGATTTGATAAATCATTTCAGTTCTTGATTGATTGTTCACGCTTACAGTGGCTTTCAGACAGCATACATTAATTTTTCGTCTCCCCCCTCCTCTTTTCAGAACATAGATGGACTACTCCTTCTAAATAAACTGCCAAATCGCTGCGCGTGGTGCTGACGTTTTTTTAGAAGTACACCGTTTAAAAATAAATAAATTAATGCGAACCGACACACCTGATGACGACCGTTTGTGTTATGGTCAACGTCGTGAGAATTTGTATTGTTTTATATATTTCATTATTTTATTGTTTCCCTTCAACGTGACTTTACCGAAAGAGCTAATCATATGAATTACTGCAGTCACGAAAGCTTTAAATCAAAACCTAGTAAACTTAGAAATGTAATGCAATGCAACACAGAGAGTCGGCTAACACAACAGTTAACACTTTACCTGGTTGATTATGTTCTTCCAAAGATTGCTAAATTTGAAGTTAAGTGTGAGTCGATGTGGAAATCCTCCTCGTAGAGGTGGTTCAAACTTTATTTGAAGCTTTCGTGACTGCAGGCATTACTCTTTGGTTCTTTCGGTCAAGTCACGTAGAAATAAATAAATTAAATAATAGAATACGACGTTTCGATTGCAACACAAGCAACCGTCATCAGGTGTGAATGAATGCAAGCTCTTCCCCATGTGTGTCTATCTGTGTGTTTGTCTCTCTCTGTATATGTCTCTCTCTGTATATGTGTCTCTCTCCGAGCTTGCATTTATTCACACCTGATGACGGTTGCTTGTGTTGCAATCAAAACGTCGTATTATATTATTTATTTTATTTTCTTTCTACGTGACTTTACCGAAAGAACCAAAGAGTTATGTATTATTGTTAAATTATTTGCTTTATGAAGTATCCACTTAATCCAAGTAAATGCACAAACCTAACATTTTGTGTCTATGAACATATATTTCTTACATTTGTATTACCTCATGTTTAAGATGATAAATTCTGATATATGTTAATACTGCTTAATAGAGGGTTAAATCCACATGTTACATTCGAATATACTTGAAAAAGGCGTGGAGTATGCTACAGCATAGAAACATGGCTCACTTGTCAGAGTGCAGTACAAAGCTGTAGATGACCATAGCCACCTTTGGACTACCATGAAAATATCAGTTAAATGTGGGGCAAGGAGACCTAATTCAGACTTGAGGCCATGGTGGTCTCCTTCACAAGTTAGCACTGAGGTTGAATAAAGGCTAAACACACCCATGTCTTGTATGCTGTGGATGTATGTATGTTGAACTTCTTCAGCACTGTACGTAGCAAACCATCCTAATTGGAGGTGCGGGAGATGGACAACAAACGAAACACAAAAAATCAGTTCTAAAGAAATTAGTTTTCAATCTAGATTTAAAAGTGCATAGCTCCATTAGCTTCCTAATATCGGAAAGAAGAGCATTCCAGACAGCTGCATAAGCACATCTGAAAGCAGCGATTCAGTGACCATCTTTGTTTGATGGTTAGCCAAAAGCCACTATAAGGATACCGGTGTTTGCGTGATGATTTATGCTCCTTGACAAGATAAAAAATGGTGAATTTTTGCAAGAACTTTGTGTGTAGTGAGTGCGACCTCATGTATTCGTGAGCCAATGTAGCTCAGCGAGAACAGGACGGACATGGTCGGATCTTGTAGTACCCATCACGACAAGTGCGAAAAGAATTTTACACGCTGCAGGTTGGTAATATTTTTGCCAGACGTCCCATAGCATAGTGAGTTTAAATAATCTAGCCTTATTGAACACGATGCTACTACATGCCACCGTGTTGGCTATGTCCCAACGCAATAGTGGTTGAATGTGTCGTAGAGCCCTGATATGAAACTTTACTATATTTTACACGTGGTGATCAAAAGATAATATTCTGGCCAAGTATGATGCCGAGGTTATTTAGACATCTATTGAAAATAAGAAGGGCCGAGGATTTGTCCCTATGGTACACCAACTCGGTACGGCATTGGTGATGACTGTTCGTCACCCAGCATGACGAACTGTTATTGACCATGTAGGTATGACTCAATCCACCCCATTGCCATACCTGATACACCGTACCTTGACCTTAGCCGCCCAATGAGTATCTTGTGGTTGATGGTGTCGAAGGCGGCTGAAAGATCGAGGCCACCAACACTGCTGCGCACCTATCATCCATGATCTTGCAGAGGTCATCAGTGATCTTTAGTAGAGCCGTCTCAGTGCTGTGGAACTTCCAGTATGCCGACTGCAACGGGTTGAATCTGCCCGTCACAGCGACGTGGGGAAATAATCACTTCAGACAAAATCGATAGTTTGAAATATTTTCAGATTTGAGATCAGGGGATAATTTGCGGGGTCACTGGCTCAGGCCAACTTTTTTTAAAGAGGGGTGTTACCTGCGCCATTTTGAACCTGTCTGGAAAGAGCCCACGCTGAACGAAACATTTGTCAGGTGGACAACCAGCGGCGCAAGCACGTCCAAGCATGATTTGGACTGTATAATGGTTGTAAAGTACATACGTGTGAGGTCTCGTACATGTTGCCGAGGTGGTTGTAAGCTGAGTGATGGCACACTACTCCGTGTGTGTGGCGCGTGTAAGCCATGTGTGCTTGTGCATATTTCCGTAGAAACAACTACAAGAACTACTCAATGGAATCACGCCTGCACTTCCGCCTGCACGCGATGCTCTGTGACCTCCAGGGCAGCTCCCAGGCCGACCTGAGAGGGGCGGCTGGGGCAGCGAGGCCCTCCCTGTGAACCTCGGCCTCTTCCTCTTCACCCTCCGCTATCCTATGATTTTTTTCCAAAATAGCCCAATTTTCTATAGCAGGAGGGGCAAGAGGGTCCTGCTGTATACGGATTTTGGCCAATTGCTATTCACAATATTTTATCAGAGGAAATTACACTATGGATAAGACAACACACAAACTTTGTCCACATACAATTTGCCAGCGTTATTTGTTGCGCTGCTCCTTACAGGTCAGAAGATGGCGGTCCTGAGCGCACCATTTTGCTTTCACCACCGCTTGGCCATCTATGTCCCGGTGTAGCTGAGTGATGGGCAACCTAGACTAGTTAGTGAGCCACATGAGCGGCCCCTCCTTCAGCTCAGTGGGCCGTAAGCTTTACATCTTGCTCGTGTATTAATCATGACCCCACGCATTACCCTAGACACACTTAGACCAGGCCACCACAAGGGGCTCCACAGGCCGCATGTGGCTTACGGGCCACAGGTTGACCACCACGAGTACTGTAGCTGGATCGCGCGCGGACAGGCATTGTCACGTTATCTGGCGAAACAAAGACCATCGTCTCCCATTTTGCCCATGTCTCTACGTTGCTATGTTATCCTCACACAAGGTAATCATTGTAAACCAAGTGAACCTTCAGTGGATCCAGGCTTCTGTCAAATCATTGCAATTACATGCATGGGTTACTGGGATAGTGTGCAGTGTGATAACTGCTGTGCTAACATCGTATAGTGTCCATTTTAACTTAAATCTTGTGTAATCAGGTTGATGTATCATACAATTGTTTGTGACTATCATGTGTTTTATAGAAACAGCAATACCTGTGCCATTTTAGGGTGAATAGGAGTTGAAGCTATCTAATTTCATTCTCATCTCTGCTTAGCTCTTAAATGGGACCAAATATTTAAATGTTGTTTCGTCTTTAAATGAGCACTTGCGTTAAAAAAGTGTTTATTATTTTGCATATCTTTAAACTACGGTTGTGGTGTCGTGTGTGCATGCTTTGGGGTTTATGTACGTCCAGTTCAGTAAAAATTCTGAATCATTTAAACGGTTGAGCTCAGTTATCTAAATATTGGGTATGTAGTGCTTACCATGCTGTGATTAACCAGCAATCAGGCAACAGATTATCGCTTTTGGAATGGAGACCTGTTATTAATGGAGACCTGTTATTCAGACAGTTATTCATATTTATGACCATAGTTCAAATATTGCAATTTGTGCAAAGTGAATGCATTGTGGACATCTGAAGAATAGTGATGTTACAGGGTATTTAACATCTGCTTTCCAACTGCTTGGGTATATCCCTGGAAGCAAAATTATACCGTGTATGTTGCAATGCAATGATATTTTATTTGAAGGTTAAGGCTATGAGTGAGAGCTCATTGACTTAGACGTCAGAAGAAGCCATGAGAGTCGCTTCAGAGCTCTTCCCTTCGTATGTGCAACAGAGGGGCTCTTGTGATGGCAAAGCTTGGCTCTGATTATTGATCTGTAGAAAATACAAATACACCAAAGCAAATGAATACTATTTATTGACATATAATAAATTTATATATAAAAAGTATTCTCTTTAGTCTAGATTTGAAGTTTTCGTGACTGCAGGGATCCATACTCTTTGGTTCTTTCGGTAAAGTCACGTAGGTATAAACTAAATTGAATCAGGACGTTTCGGGCGCAACACGAACGTCCGTTATCAGGTGGGACAACCACAGCAAGAAACAATTACTGCCCACTTCAATTGCTGCCCACTTCAGCAATTGTTTCTTGCTGTGGTTGTCCCACGTGATGACGGACGCTTGTGTTGCGCCCGAAACGTGATTTATACATACGTGACTTTACCGAAAGAACCAAAGAGTATTTTCTTTAGCTTTTAAAAAATCTGAATTATGCAGAGTGAAGAAGATTAATTTGTATGGTGGTAATTTTTTTAATATACCCTGCTGTCAGTAAAAATATACAGTACACTATCTTCATGTATATACGGTATGGATATAGTAAAAAATACATGCGTGTGTGCTTTGGCCATTTAGCTTCGATAGTGCTTATTTAAGTTGGTGTTTTTAGATTTAAGTCACTTCCTATGACAAGCGCCACAGAATAACGACTGGAGACTTTCTAGCCTCGACAGAAGACGTTCACTGGGGCCCAGGGGGAGTTGTAGTCGTGGCAGCAGCAGCAATGACGATCGGACGAAAGGAGCCAAGCTGACCAAGGCTGGAACTTGCGCTCCCACATTTGGCAGCTCTGTTGATGTACCCGGCCACGGCAACTATAGTAGCAAATCTTGACTTAAAGCGTTCGTGACTGCAGGAATTCATACTCTTTGGGTCTTTCGGTAAAGGCATGCACGTATGTTATCCAAATGTTGCAGTTGCAAAAAGCGATTTCAAATGTAGCAATACTTTCAGTCATACACGTTGCCTTTGCAGTATGTTACCACAGAAGTAATACAGATGCAGTAAAAAAGCTTACGTAAGTGTTGGTCACCAACAACATGTTGATCACGGGCATTTGTCGGTGTGTGTGCTTTGGAATTAGTTATGGTAATACATTTTGAGAACTTGGTATTAAAAGCAGTCTGAGGATTTTTTTTTCTCCAGATTAGTGCACTCTTTCCATGAATCCACCTATCTCCCTTATCGCCTTTGTTTCACTGGATGAGGATGTTGAGATGCATGGTCTATTTGAGATGGATTGACCCATATGTGTGAAGTCATAATATTCCCTGCAGAAATGCAAATTTAGAAAAGCACTTTGTTTCCGAATCCGTGTGACAATGTGTAAGCTACAAGCATATGTAACTGGTTAAAAGGTCACGCAACGCAAAGTCTACACGAGCAGGGTGGGGGAATTGGTGGGCCGGCGCCATCCGAGGCCTTGCTGGTGTGGAGAGTGCCGGCCTGGGGTAGCTCTCGCCTCAGCCCAGGCTCTTGTGCGCCTACATCATGAGCAACTCCTCCAGGGGGCGCATCGTGCCGCCCTATACCACGCCGCCGCGTCGAGCTACGAACTCGACTTACCCACCCCAGGCAGGTCTCCATCTCCGCCTTAGTGTCGTCGTCGTCGCCACCTGTTGAGTAGAACAGTGAGGCCCTCCTATGGGGGGTACCCCCCCCCCCTTCCCGCCACGGGTTCGCCATCGCACACCTCGGCTGGGCAACCGCTCCATACTTCACGACCTCACACGACTTAATATTATACTCCCTGCTTCATTGAGTCGGAGGTGCCCGTGCGATCATCGGTTTATATAAGTGTCTCTATGTAGATGGATATCTCGACATGTATATGGGTGTGTTTTGTGCGTGTATGTACTTATATGTAACTAGAAACTTGCAGACGAGCATTCGACACTTCATGTGGCCTCAAAGTGCACCCAGCCTGGCACAAGTGTCGAGGCACTGTCGCCGCCCCCTAGTGATGAACGGCCGCTGGAGTCGCTAAATATGTAACACAATTTTTGCTCCTGGGTAGTAAGATTTATTTCGTAATTGCTTATGTCTAAAATGTATAGAAAATGGATACTATTCCTTGACTTAAAGCTTTCGTTACTGCAGGTATTAATCTTCTTTGGGTCTTTCGGGAAAGTCACAGAACAATTTTTTTTACAAAAAACTACGACGTTTCGATCACAACACAAGCAATCGTCATCCGGAGGAGAAAAGATGACTTTACCGAAAGACCAAAAGAAGATGGATATTTATTCCCCACAAACTTAAAACATTTTGACCAGAAATTTACCTATTTTCAATGAGAAAACGGGCGAATTTGTGTGTTTTCGTTCACATAAAGTTAGAAAAAACAACATGAATCAAAATAAACATGTACAGTGAGGGAAAAAAGTATGTGATCCCGTGCTAATTTTGTACGTTTGCCGACTGACAAAGAAATTATCAGTCTATACTTTTAATGGTAGGTTTATTTGAACAGTGAGAGACAGAATAACAACAACAAAAATCCAGAAAAACGCATGTAAAAAATGTTATAATTTGATTTGCATTTTAATGAGGGAAATAAATATTTGACCCCCTCTCAATCCGAAAGATTGCTGGCTCCCAGGTGTCTTTTATACAGGTAACGAGCTGAGATTAGGAGCACACTCTTAACGGGAGTGCTCCTAATCTCAGCTTGTTACCTGTATAAAAGACACCTGTCCACAGAAACAATCAATCAATCAGATTCCAAACTCTCCACCATGGCCAAGACCAAAGAACTCTCCAAGGATGTCAGGGACAAAATTGTAGACCTACACAAGGCTAGAATGGGCTACAAGACCATTGCCAAGCAGCTTGGTGAGAAGGTGACAACAGTTGGTGCGATTATTCGCAAATGGAAGAAACACAAAAGAACTGTCAATCTCCCTCGGCCTGGGGCTCCATGCAAGATCTCACCTCGTGAAGTTGCAATGATCATGAGAACGGTGAGGAATCAGCCCAGAACTACACGGGAGGATCTTGTCAATGATCTCAAGGCAGCTGGGACCATAGTCACCAAGAAAACAATTGGTAACACACTACGCTGTGAAGGACTGAAATCCTGCAGCGCCCGCAAGGTCCCCCTGCTCAAGAAAGCACATATACATGCCCGTCTGAAGTTTGCCAATGAACATCTGAATGATTCAGAGGACAACTGGGTGAAAGTGTTATGGTCAGATGAGACCAAAATGGAGCTCTTTGGCATCAACTCAACTCGCCGTGTTTGGAGGAGGAGGAATGCTGCCTATGACCCCAAGAACACCATCCCCACCGTCAAACACGGAGGTGGAAACATTATGCTTTGGGGGTGTTTTTCTGCTAAGGGGACAGGACAACTTCACCGCATCAAAGGGACGATGGATGGGGCCATGTACCGTCAAATCTTGGGTGAGAACCTCCTTCCCTCAGCCAGGGCATTGAAAATGGGTCGTGGATGTGTATTCCAGCATGACAATGACCCAAAACACACGGCCAAGTCAACAAAGGAGTGGCTCAAGAAGAAGCACATTAAGGTTCTGGAGTGGCCTAGACAGTCTCCAGACCGTAATCCCATAGAAAATCTGTGGAGCGAGCTGAAGGTTCGAGTTGGCAAACGTCAGCCTCGAAACCTTAATGATTTGGAGAAAATCTGCAAAAAGGAGTGGGCCAAAATCCCTCCTGAGATGTGTGCAAACCTTGTGGCCAACTACAAGAAACATCTGTCCTCTGTGATTGCCAAAAAGGGTTTTGCCACCAAGTACTAAGTCATGTTTTGCAGAGGGGTCAAATACTTATTTCCCTCATTAAAATGCAAATCAATGTATAACATTTTTGACATGCGTTTTTCTGGATTTTGTTGTTATTCTGTCTCTCACTGTTCAAATAAACCTACCATTAAAATTATAGACTGATCATTTCTTCGTCAGTTGGCAAATGTACAAAATCAGCAGGGGATCAAATACTTTTTTCCCTCACTGTATTTATACTAAAGTAAAACAAAAATGACTACAAAAGATTTAGAAGTCAGTAGTTTTTTTAGATTTACGGTTATACTGTATATCACTTTCATGAATCAGCCCCCAAATGTAGTATCCCATCATGTTCTTGTTATACTGTCCTTGGTAACAGCGTTCAAAGTCTGATATATCCTGGTGGAAGCGCTCGCCTTGCTCCTCCGAGTATGCTCACATTCTTAAAATTGATCAAGATGAGCATCAAGGAAATGGACTTTGAGGGACATCCTACAGCCCATTGTGCCATAGATCTTCACCAGAGTCTCAAACAGCTCCACATAGTTTTCGACCTTGTGATTGCCCAGGAAGCCACGAACCACTGCGACAAAGCTGTTCCATTTTGATTTAAAGCTTTCGTGACTGCAGGGATTCATATTCTTGGTTCTTTCGGTAACGTCACGTAGAAGGGAAACAATAAAATAATAAAAATATAAAACAATAACATTTTCACGAAGTTTCGACTGCAACACAAGCAATCATCATCAGGTGTGAAAACCACAGCAGGAAAATTTGAAAAAAGTGGAGTTTTTTTTAACGTTAGCACCACGGAGAGCGATTTGGCAGTTATTCAGATGGACGAGTCCATCTATGTTCGGAAAAGAGCAGGGGGGAGACGAAAATAATGGATGCGGTCTGAAAACCACCATAAGCGTGAACAATCAATTAAGAGCCGAAATGGTTTATCAAATCCTTCCAATGATTGCTAAGCCAGAATCCATCTTCTCGGTTGAAATTGTCTCTGTGTTTGTATATGTATATGTGGATAGCCCCATGAACGAATCTCTCATGGTAGCCAGATGGCTTGCAAAGAATCTCTGTCTTGGAGAAGTCAATGTCATGTGAGCCTACTGAAATAATAACAGTGATCTGTCACGGCCGAGGTGTTGGTCCTACCGTGTTTTAGGTCTGCTTTGTGTTCACGAATGCGGT